CTCTCTCTCTCTCTCTCTCTCTCTCTCTCTCACTCACACACACACACACACACACACACACACACACACACATACACACACACACAATACACAACACACTAATTAATTAATTAGACCTTAATTTAATAAGATGCAGCATCTGGACTGGGGTTGTACCTCTGCCTTAGAGTTTGGGGCTGGGCAAGTGGAGCAGGGCAGGGATGGGATGACCCAGGATTGGATCCCTAGTGCCAAACAGGATAAAGAAAAAAAGTATTTTTAAAAATGAGATGTTGGTTTGGCTTGCTTTTGTAATTTGTTTTTATCTCGGGTCCCCTACTCCTGCTTCTGTTTATCTTAGACGTAGTGAATAATAACTCAGAACACTCGACACGATTATGAATGTAACTTATTTGTGCAGCTTGTGAAGAGCGTATTGAATCTTTACCAGCCGGTAGACTTCAGCCCCTGTGAAGCGTGCCAGGCTTGCTCTCACGTCTTGAGATGACTGCCAGGGCACTGTGCAGCCGGCGTGGCGCTCAGTGTGTGTGTCCCTGTTCTCTCTCCTGCAGGCAAGGCAGTTTTCCCGGCATGAACCAGGGTGGACTCATGGCCTCCAGCTCTCCCTACAGCCAGCCCATGAACAACAGCTCCGGCCTGATGAACACACAGGCACAGCCCTACAGCATGGCTCCTACCATGGTGAACAGCTCCACAGGTAACCAGTGCCTCTGCTTTTCAGAGCCACCCTGCCTTCCTGTCTCCTCCTCTTAGGCTTCCCGGGGAATGTGCCCACCCAAGTGGCCTGAGAAGGGGGGACCCCCCAGTGTCGTAGGCTAAGTCCACACCTCTGCTTTGGAAGACTTGCTTAGTCTGTGACTTGATGTCAATGTTTTTTCATCGTCTGTACACTACACCAACATGTTTCAAGCGTCCGTACATTCTATATTCTCCTTGTCCTTGGGAGTTAGCAGGAGGACTGAAGGGTCCCAGAGCAGAGCTGTCCCTTGGCAGTGACAGAGACGTAAGTGTAGGCTCTGCCCTGCAGACGGAGGGGCTGCAGGGCTGGCACAGGAGTCCTCCTTCCTTCCAGGACAGTGCCTGCCCGTGTGTGGCAGCTCTGGAGACCTAGCTGCAGGTTGTCTAGAGTTCTAAGTCCCCTTCTTACAAAATCAGGCCTGCTTAGTACATTGAGGGTTCCTAGCCAGTTGTGAGCATTGTATAAGGCCCTCGAGACACTTCTCCAGATCCAGAGCTTCTCAAAGATGAGTGTGACGTCAGAAACGAGAAACTGGCGCTTGGCTGAATGGTAGCATCATCCCTTTTGGTAGGATTGGTCCGTTGTTTCACACAGGCTTGATATTTTGATGGAGAATCCTCCAAAGCTTTGGGACATGTCAGAAACACATTGTGAGCCCTAACTCCCATGGTCATCAGTTACCATTGACACAGCTTCGCCCGCCCGTGTTCTCTGTGTCTGGGTGTCCTGGAAAGTACCCCCCCACCCCCCCGCGCTCTCAGAGCTCCCTGTCACAGGGAACAGTCCAGAGGGGCCAGGTGTGTTACCCACATGAGAAGCGGAGCCACCCATCTCTAGGGGCTCAGTCTGTAAGTTTAGAAAAACACAGAGTAAACTGTGAGCCAAAACATGGGGTTTTCAGTTCCTGAAATGTCCCTTCCTAGTGTTAGGCAGGTGGTGGTCCATGGGGGATTGAAGTGTGGGATCCAGCCGCCTGACAGCTGGGGGCCCACCCCTCCCTGCAGGCTGCCCAACCCATGCCAGTCTCCGTTGGGACAGCCTCTGTTCTGTCTGACTTCCTGAGACAAAATGACTTCGGAAACGGGAATAAATTTCTATCTACTGTTAGCGATATTCATTGTTCCCTTTTCCTTGAAACCCCAGAGCTCCCAAAATACTAATAGTAAACAGATGGCATGCTGCCCTGACTAGGAAGATCTATGTATTCTTAAGAAAGAATCCGTTTTATGGGGATTCATAGAAAGGGTTTCATTTTATTATTCAGATAATTCAGCGATTCATTACTTCATGCAGAGGAAATCTGTTCAGTGAAAGGCCATTTATCCTTACAGCTTTCTGTATAGCATAGTAGTATATTTTTCATGGCATTGTACATTTCAAAGTATTGAATTTTGAATAATTTAAACATTTATCAAATTTTGTTCTACACGTTTATATGATTTTATTTCCACATTATTAAGTCAGATGCTACCTGATAGAAAGTAATCACTGAGAACATCTGAGGAGTATTGACCATCTAGCACTTCTTGGGTCTATTGACAGGTCCGTGTGCGTCTTTTGTGAGTGTGTTAATCTCTGAGAGGACCAGGAATGACAGGTGTCCACGCTGCAGCTCCCCCAGAGCCGTGTGCTCCCCTACACAGTGAGGGTGGCTCATTGTCATGGCCACTTCCGTGGCTTGGGACCATGGAGATAAACTCCCATGGGTGGCAGCAAGGCATTCCCCCATCGTGGTGCCCTGCGGGGAGGAAGGGAGCAGAGATGTAAGCAGCGCCAGCAGTGGGGTTTTCTGAGATTCCATTAGCACCCCTGTATCCAGCATCCCAGCATTCCCTTCCCTGAGCCAGTTAGTGCTGTTAGAAGGTGTGCAGCACGCACGCACGCGCACACACACACACACACACACACACACACGCACGCACGCACGCACGCGCACACACACACTCCTCCTGTGTAGTAACATTGTCACAGGCCTCAGTGAGCGAATAACTACTTAAATGGAGGCAGTGTGAGTTAAATGTGCCAGGTATTTCCTCCCTAAGTGCCAGCGGATGTTGGGAGGAAACAGTGGGGATTTTCCCTCTGAAGGAGCAATTTCGGTTCAGTGGGATGTGGATGGTCACGTCACATTTGGGGTTAAAACTTGTTTTTAGCAAATTGGATTAAAAGGCTAGAATCGCTTAATATTGTGAGCAACAGTACAAGTTATCGGTACACTCATGTGTACCCTTTTGCGAGACCTGCACTGGAGTTGGGTGCATTGATTTGTATTGACATTTATAGCGGGTACATTGATTTGTATTGACATTTATAGCACCTCCTTACTGCGCTCTTGTCCGCACATGAGGCGCTGCCCTCAAGTGGACGTCTACATTCCACCGAGAGACCCTACTACCCAGAGCTCTGACTGCCTCTCTAGAAGCCACCTGTAGAAACCAGGCATTTCCACTATGCCGCCCCGTAGGACAGGAGTGCCCATCCACTGCTACAGCAGAACCTCCCCACAGGGAGCCTTGGCCAGCTTCCAATCCCAAAGGTGAAGTGTCCTGTCACTTCCCGACCTAGACACTGAGTGCCAGCTCTGGTAGCCTTCCCAGAGAAAGGAAGTCAGTCGCCCTGCCGCAGAACTCCCCGAGGACTACCCACTGGAAGGCGTCTGTCTGTAGCGCCTGTGACAGCTGCAGATCCTGTCCACATTCTGAAGCGGTATCAGTAATCAGCTCCGCGGGTGATCTTCCCATGCACCAGCGTGACAGCCGCAGATAGGGAGTGTTTTGCTCAGTGGTCACTTGATCGATCACTGTCCACCTTCAGGGAAGAAATAAGGCAAACACCTTTAGACAAGGAAGGAAACAGGCAGACCAGGTACGCGGAGGAGAGCGAGCTGAGGGACTTGACACATCGTGACAGCCGGGCTTAGGCTGGAAGACTTAGATGCCAAAGAATATCAGTGTCCAGGCCCCTCGGTGTGCCTCCTGGCTGGAGGAAACACTTACCTCCCTGCTGGAGTAGGCCAAGCTCCAGAGGCCAGCACAGAGTCTGTCCCCTGGGCACATTATGGAGCCACGCCCACCTCAGCTCACTGGCGTTCCCACAGAAGGCTGAGGTGCGAGGAAGCGTCTGCTTGCCGCTGCTGAGAGGGGGACATTGCCCCCAGATCTTTCTGTAGCTCCTACACGTGCTGTATAAACCATGCAGTGTGTTCCGGCCACACATCAAATCTTCAAGCAGGCGATGCTTGAGATGCCAGGGCAGGAGGATCACAGTGAGTTTGAGGCTAGCCTGGACCACATAGTAAGCTCTTTAAGCCAGCCTAGGCTACAGAGAAAGGAGAGCTTCAGAAAATAGCAACAACCAATTCATGAACAAGGTAGGCCCTTAGTGTGTTTCAGAATGACAGCATATCTCTAGAATGTGGGGTATTACCTACCAAGAAAGGAAAAGAGCCTTGTGTGCCTCACTGCCTTCTGGGAATGGTTACAGCCTTGTAAAGAATGGAGAGAGAAGCTGGGAGGAAGCAGGTTCCTGGCCTCAGCAAGTCCTATGTTCCCTGAGTTCTTGGGAATGTGTTAATCCACCCACCTTAGGACCTTGACCCCTGGTGGCTTTCAGAGGTCATTTTAGCTCTTCAATTCCAGTGGTAGGACCAGAGCCTGTCCTTAGAATATCTTTCCGTTTTACATCGCTCAGGCAGCCCCAGCTGTAGTCTCAGATGCTGTGGAAGCAGATCCCTTGCTGTCCCTGGCCATACCCATCCGAACTTCACACTCTGGGTTCCTGGGAACTGGAGAATCAGCAGTTGATGGAAAGCATCCTGACAGTGATGTGGCCTCTTTCCCGAGGAAAGAGTAAAACATAGTGCCCCCGAGAGGCCACTGCCCTGGAGGGGTGGCAGCTATATGGCTCTGTGCAGTGATTCTTTGAAAGTTTGGTTAAGTCAAACTAAGCAGTTCAGTAAAAATAAAAATAAAATCCACAATAGGAAAGAGTGCAATCATGTAGTAAAAGAAAAATCTGTGTTGTACTTAGAGAGTGTCACTCTGTTCCCCTGTCCCTCAGAATAATAGGGCAGTGCAGGTACATTTGCATACCTAGGATGCCCAGTTTAAACTAGATAATAGAGAAGGAAGTAATTTGGAGAGTTTAAATTCCACATATGCTTATATTCATCTGGGTCTGATTATTAAATCTGTGTGAATTACCACTGATGATTGTAGTACAATTGGCTTAGTTCTTTGTGCTTAAAATTATTTTTGTGTACATTAATGTGTGAAATGCATAAACCATCACTATTCCTACTGCCAAAATAATATCTAGACATAACTTTATGGCAAAACAGTCAGCTGTCACCTCTGGCGCAGCAGGATGTGGCAGAAGCCACATATCATGACCTTCCCTCTCTCCGAATCGTGCTGGCTGCGGCTGCTCTGAACAGAGTCTGCAGAAGAGTGGGGGGCAGGCGGATAGTCAGGCACAGGCCCCTTTTCCCCGTGCGCTCCTTTTATTTCCTCTTCTTCTGAGTGTCCAGGCTCACTAATTCCTGTCTCATTGGGCCCTGCAGAGAAGCCGCACGAAAGCGTCCACTGCTTTGAACGAGGCGGTCTTCTGCTGTAATATCGCTCAGCTGCTTTTTCTGAGGCTTCACACATTCACAGAAATAACACATTTTTAGCTGATCCCAATAGATTTTTCTCTGCAGCTGCATCACTTGAAAAAGCTTTTTGTTCCAGTTCTTAAAGTCTAAGTATTGAAAGTAATTTGAAAAAAAAAGAAAAACATCTCAATTATGATTTGTGTGTGTTGTGATGACTTTAAGGACTGACTGAGCTGCAAATGGGCTTTGCAAGCCCAGCTAGTGCGCCTGTGGAAACACGGGATTTCAGAGCGCGGTATTGAGTGTGCCGATGTAAACTCCAGGGCATGTGGAGGGGTAGGCTTTTTTGGCAGGACCTGTGGTCTCAACCTGCAGCGATGCTAACGATATTAACAAATTAGCACCATGGAGCTTGCCAGCTAACTCACCAGAGCCTGCTCGTCCTCTCACTGCTGTAATTAAAACTAATTATTTTCTAAAACATAGTAATGCACGAATATGTGCGGTGATCGTTTTGTAGTGGGCGATCTGCGGGGCCTTTTGAAAGCTGGTTGGCTTTTCCTTACTGGTACATAGTGCTTGCTCCCTGTGTCCTGCCTGCCTGAGCCCATACTCACCATGGCAGCGTCTGAAGCAGGTCCCGTTTATGAAACCCACGTTTCTGTCATCTTGACAGGGAGTGATTGCAGATTGCTGCCTCAGTTTCCCCTTGTTCCTTACACATCTGTTTGCATGTCACTTGCAGCTCCTCTAGCTCAGGGTTTTGCAGATGACTCCACAGTAGGTGTTATGGAAATGCAGCTTGATTCCCTGGATAGCTACACTGATTGCCCTCAGGAGGCTGACTCCTCCCTCAAAAAGAAGCCATTGACCTGAGTATGTCTGTGGTGTGTACAATGAGTATGCATGAGTCAGTTGTTCTCTGGACCTCTATCTGGGGCCTACATGGAGCTTGGGGCATCCCTCAGCCCGAAGATAGAAAGTGTAGGCTGTGTCAGGAGCTCCTATGGTGTCGCATCGGCTGCAGCGGGTTGATAACTGCAGCCTCTCTGCCAGCTGAGGGGACAGGAGCCCACGGTAGAGTCTAGGAACCTTCCCCGAAGTCGTCCTCAGTATGGTTTTCCTCCTTTATTGTAGACCAGACCGTGTGAAGTCACCAAGCTTTTGCAAACAGATTACTTGCACTGAAGAAACAGACACCAAGCCCTCTAGAACCTGGGTGATAGATACACACTGCGGTGGCTTCCAGCGCCTCATGAGCGATTCATACACCTGCCCATTTCTACTTGGGCCAACTCTCTTAAGCTGCGATAAAGAAAAAAATACTATAAATTGGCCTCAGTGTTTGGGGGTCTCGGGTATACAGAGTCTGCTTCCCCCACCATGGAAAAGGATTTTAGACATCAGTGTGCTCCAGGAGCCCCTGACTCTCTCCCCTCTTTCTTTCCTTCCTGGGAAGCTTGGGTGCTGGGCGCTTCATGCCGTAGTTCATATGAGCAGAAGCGCTGTGGTACATCCCAGGTACAATCCTGACTCTCTCTCCTGTTCTCCATTAGCATCTATGGGTCTTGCAGATATGATGTCTCCTGGCGAATCCAAACTGTCCGTGCCTCTTAAAGCAGACGGGAAAGAAGAAAGTGTGCCCCAGCCCGAGAGCAAGTCGAAGGTACTTCCTCCTCCCTGCATGCCGTGGCCTCTGCCCGCAGGGCTGCCTGGCTGTCCTGTGCCTGGTGCTGAGACACTCACATGTCTTCTCTTCATGGCTTCATGTGGCACATGTCTGCAATCTCTCCTATCCCACCACCCCTCATGGTGTGGATCTGAAAGTTACTAGTTCTTACAGCATCAAATCACGGTGGGGGGTGGAGGACAAAACCTACCCAAGAGATGCTGCTGGGGGAAGCAAGGGATGTATCTCGCCTGGGGTGGATGCTTGCAGCCATTTTTCTCTGCCTTTAGTTCAGAGCCTCCTGTTTCGGCCCCTCAGCAGCAGCCTACTTTTTATTTATTTATTTATTTATTTATTTATTTATTTATTTGCTTCCTTGCCTTATTTCATAAACCTTCTTGTTTTCTTACTTTCTTGCATAAGGGATATCCCATGCTCAGCATTCCATCTAAGCTTGAAATAAGCATGGTGACTTTGTGGCCTTTCCAGCATCCAGCAAACTGACCAGCCATACTCAGACTGTTTTAGTACTTTGCTATGTGTGTATTTTCGTGTGTGCTTGTGCACGTCTTTATATATACATTTGTGACACACAGTCTGTTAAACTGGGTGTGACTTTTGTGGTTTTAAATAAAGTTTGCTATACCTTTGTCATTTTTTTCTTATTCCTCTGCCACAGGATAGCTACAGCTCTCAGGGTATTTCTCAGCCTCCGACCCCAGGCAACCTGCCGGTCCCCTCCCCAATGTCCCCCAGCTCTGCCAGCATCTCCTCCTTTCACGGAGATGAGAGTGATAGCATTAGCAGCCCAGGCTGGCCCAAGACGCCATCGAGCCCTGTAAGTGACCCTGGTTGGTTGTTGTGGTTTTTGGGGCTTGGGGTGGTAGTTAATTACACTTTAATACTTGCTGGTTTGCTTTATAAGACTCCTCGTTGTTAATCCACGAAAAAGCAAAATTTATACATAATTGCATTAGTAACAACAAATTCGTGTGTGTCGCAGATCTCTCTGGCATTATTAGCAGCTGTTCTGGGGTGAAGACCCACCTCCACGTGGAGTACACTGATGCTTTGGGCCCAGACTCTTCCCTGGGGTGCATGCTGGGTGCCATGGAGGGTTTCTCTAAAGCCACCTGCTGTCACTTACATGGACACTAGTAGCAGCCAGGAGATAAATGACGCGTCTGGCTCCTGGTGTAACTTTGTCGTGGGCTATTATATTTAAAACATGATTCCCAAGGTGCTTACCTGAAACAAATGAATAAATATTGCAGCTGGGTACAGTGAATCGTAAGAGCAGCCTGTTTCATATATAAACTGTGTGTCGGAAAGGGACAAAGTTATAGAAATGTTAGTTAGTGCATGTGGATTTTTGGACTAAGAATGTGTACCTGCATCAGAGCCACTGAGAGAAACAAGTGGCATTCAGCACAGAATGCTGACTGTCTTGAGGTAAGTGTGGCGTATAAATGACAGCAACACCATGTACGTACCAGGAAATACTCTTTTGACCACCAAATTGGGCCTTTATTCCTTCTTAAAAAAAAAATTCATTCTGTACCAATAAAAAAAAGTAATGTATTATAGTAACCTTTTACTTTACATTCATATAGGGAATCAAAAGATCTTTAAAAAAAAACTTAACATGAAATTAGTTGTCAAGAAACTTAATTAACACGCTGATCTGTTAAGACAATGTATTAAAGAGCCCAGCTCAGGAAGAGTGAATTGGAGGGAAGAAGCCCCTGGCTGTGTAGGATCTGGCAATCTAGTCAAAACCCAGAAGGAGGCTGCCCTTAATTACCCATCCACTGGGTTAAACATCTAGAACCCAGCATGTTGAAGAGCCGGCAGTGGCTGTACTAACCCTTGTGAAACTCTGCTATAACCAACATCTCCCTTTTCAAAGCAAGGTCGGGTGCTCCGGGCATCCCCCTCCCTGCAGAAGGGTTTCAGTTTTGAAATACCCAGAGTGAGGAGTGGCCCACTTCCTCCAGATCAGAGGAAAGGGGAGCCCCACCTCCCGTTTTTATGTGCTATGGTGCTGTTGGCTTTGAGTCTCAGAAGGCAGCCAATATTGTGTGGGTTTGGGGGGCGGGGTTGTTTTGTTTTATTTTTCAGTAAACCACCCTGGGCTTTTTTTTCTTCTTCTTTCTCTCTTCCTTTCTTTCTCTCTCTTTGTAACAGGAAAAAGCATATGAATTAATAATGCTAAATGAGTGGGAAGAATTCAAATACATTTACAAAAACATTTGCATATTGGCTCAGTGGTAGAAAATGGTAATGTTTAAAACTTAAGATAATAATTGAGAATAATTAGTGAAAATGAAGACCTCTAATAGACGGGGAAACATGATGTAACACTCATTATTGGTCATGGAATTACAGCTGATGGAGATAGGTGCTGTGTTCCAACTTCCTACTCAAGCCGTCCTTATCCATCGAAGCCTGTGCAAAATCCTTACCCAGAATTCTGCTGGATGTAGTAGCACATGCCTATAATCCCAGACTGGGGAGGCTAAGGCAGGAGGATCATGTCTGAATCTAGCGTGGGCTACATAGCAACACCCTACCTCAAAAACAAATTCAATTTTATTTAAATTAAAAAAGCAAACTAAAGTAAATGACCCCATTTCCTGAGGATTACACTGGAAATTTGGCGTTTTTTCTTTTTTTAAATAGTGCCACATATCTCCTTTCATACCATAAATCGTTTTGTGTTTAAGAATCTGTAAGCAAACCTCAGGCTCCAGTGCTAAACAAGGACAAGGGAGGCTGTGTTTGCCCAGGGGAACATGCTAGGCTCTTGCTGTGTCCTCTGCTGTGGGACGGGTATGGCAGAGCGGAGTGCGGGAGCGCGCCATGCAGGATCTCACACCATCGTTGCTTCTGATCGCTGCAGATGTAGGCGATTCAGGAATATTGAACTGCTCCTTCTGAGATGACACTTCAGTTTGTGCTTGAAATTGCTCTTAATAGTGTCCCCGCAAAGCTTTGCTAATAGCGGGATTGAAGGAGCCGGGCAGAATAGCAGAGCTGCCGTGGTTGCCTTGACAGTGTGCTATGGACCAACATTGCTTTGTTAGAAAACATTCTAAAATATAAATAAAGATTTGTCCATACACATACACATATACATAGAACCAAGCATATGGTAAAGACTGCTGAAATGTAAATCTGCCTCAGAGGCTTGAGGAAATGTGCGTTTTAGCTTAATTAAACTATATGCAAGGAAAACATTTGTGGCACCATAAGAATATCTTGCTGTAATTTCTCAGCAACGTCCATTCCTTTTTTTTTTCCCCCTCCCCAATGTTTTCAGAACCTGGGATACACTGTTCACAGCAGAGAAGCAGTTCCTAGTGGCCCTGGGACACCTGCCAAAGATGCTGGGTCTTCCCGAAGGCCTTTCCCACTGTCAAAGGCAGTGTCTCTCAAAGACCATCCTCAGATGTGGACTAGAGAGATGGCTCAAGGGATAAGAACAGTGGCTGCTCTTGCAGAGGACCTGGGTCTAGTCCCCAGCCCTCAATGGTGGCTCACAACCATCTGTGACTTCAGTTCCAGATGATCCAGCACCCTCTTCTCTTCTCCAAGGGCACTGCACACACATGATACACATACACATACATGCAGGCAACATCCACGTAGGATAATAATAAATCTAGAAGACTAGAAACTTCCGCAGAGGGTCCAGTGTGTAGGAGAGGGGAAGAGCTGTGTTCAGTGGCAGCGGTGAGCATTCATGTTCTCTGCTGGGCTCTACTGCTGGACTCTCTAGTTCTCTTCCCACACCGACATCTGCCTTGGGCAATGATTTGGCCCACAAGCAAGCCTGGGACCAAGGAGGTGTCTGCTGTTGCTCTCCCCGCTGGAGTCCCACCGTGGCCACCACATTCACGTCACACCTTTTGTCCCATACATAGGGCTGCTTGAGTCCGTTGTTACTTCTTACCTGAGCACAGGCAGACTTTTTACACAACTTCTTGTCTTCTTAAGCGTTTGTAGACCACATCTCAGACCACTAGTGTGAAGGGCACTGTGCCGAGGGCGTGCAGTCACAATCACCAGGCTTGAGTGTAGGTGGGAGAGCAGCGGTCCGACCCGTCACTGCAGAACAGAGCTTTACACTCTAAACAAGGTACCGCCAAGGAGCAATCCAGCATGTGAGGGAGGCAAGCTGAGCCCTGGTGTAGATTAGCCAGCAAGCCTGAGAGATCCTCACACAGTCCCCTACATACTTCAGCTATGTGAAATGCTTGTACCTGCATGGTAGAGACATAAACATGCTCTGGGGAAGATGTAAAGTTATCAGTAACTATTATCTTTTATGCTGGAGAGATGGCTTGGTGGTTGGGAGTGCTTGGTGCCCTCTCAGGGACCCAGTTTCAGTGCCCAGCACCCACAGTTCGTGCTGTGTGGCTCATTCGGACACAAACACACACACACACATAATTTAAAAAACACCTTTGGAGAAGCTCCTCATTGCCCTTTCCTAATTATGAGGGAACGGATTGGAGTAACACAGGTTAACAAAGAAAAGTGACCAAATTAAAATCTGCATATGCAAACTGTACCAGTATTTTAGGTCTGCTGACGGCGGAGGGAGGCAGACACTGCTGTGCTCTGGTCCCCAGGGAAGAGCGCACTGTCCTGACATGGAGGCTGGTCCTACCTCCAGGAGCGTGACAGAGCGGCTCAGGTCTTTGAGGTACCCTGTAAACGAACGCTCACCTCATTGCTCTTCTTAAAGCACGCTGGTGGACCTTGCCTCCCGGTTGTTCATGAGGGAACTGTAGTATCCAACTGTAGGGGAAAATGCTTTTTCCCTCATGTTCTTATTCCGTTATTCCATTTTTTAAAAACACTGGGCTAATATTAGAGTGACCCTTCCTAAAAGAAACAGCTCTTGGCCACCATTTAGCAGGCACCTGCTAATAGCTGTCCTGTTTTCATAAGGACACATATTAATCATTCTTATTTTGAGAAAAAAGTAGGACTGTATTACTGGAGTTAAAGGGGCTCTATGACATCAGACACGAGAAATTGGACGACCGGTATTCATTCTCTGGGCCGTCGGTCTTTCATTTTTCAGAAGCATATGAGACTTCATTGGAATCGTGCCTTCTGGGATTCAAAGCTTCTATCAGAGTGTTCATTTTTTTAGTTTAGTTGTTTTAAGTGTTACAATGAAGAGTTTGGGTCCTTTTATTTAAAGTCAAAGTATGTTATTTAAGAAAATGTATACTTTGTGTCTGAACTAGCAGCCTTCATTCCTAGCCCTTAGATGGTAGCCGTGGTTTTTCAATGTATGTTCTTGTGCTCACCTGTTCTCTGTTCTTTCCTCGCCTCCTCCCACTGCCCCATCCCTGCCACCCGTGCCCACACCACACGCTTTTGACACTAGAAGTCCAGCTCATCTTCCACCACTGGGGAGAAGATCACAAAAGTGTATGAGCTGGGAAACGAGCCGGAGCGGAAGCTGTGGGTCGACCGCTACCTGACATTCATGGAGGAGAGGGGCTCCCCGGTGTCCAGCCTCCCCGCTGTGGGCAAGAAGCCCCTGGACCTGTTCCGACTCTATGTCTGCGTCAAGGAGATCGGAGGTTTGGCCCAGGTGAGCGTGGGTAAGGGCAAGTGTTGCAGACCAGCCTTTGGATGGAAGGAGGCTCAGTGCGCAATGCTGCGTTTTGTTTCAGGTCTTCTTTCACAGAGGAAAAGCTAAGCCTAGGAAGGTCACCTCACTAGGACTCTGTGGTGGCCGGAGAGGGCTATGACTCCTGACTCTCCTACCCACTTGTGTGGCCTGAGTTTCCTGATCTATTCCAGATTGCTAGCCTTTTTACCCAGCAGCTCTAGAATTCTCTGGAATCTGCTACAGATTCATGGTAGATACTCCAGAAGGGATTCAGACATGACTGAATTCATTATGTAGGTCAGATAAAAATCAAATTCAAACTGAGTATAGCGGGGCACACCTGTAATTCCATACTTGTGAGGTAGAGACAGGAGGATCAGGAGTTCAAGGCCAGCTTCAGCTATGTGAGACCCTGTCTCCAAAGAAAACAGAAGGAGAAATTGAGTCATAGTGGTAAAACTAGGCCCCAGCTCCCGGGTAGCTACAGGACTAGTTTTCTAGTAGCCCACAGGGCCAAGACACTAGGTGGGCAGGAGACATACCCAGGTACGGAATTCAGGGTGGTGCTCACCTGTCTGGCACATATTCACCAATACTTGACTGTCGGGGTAGGCGTCCCCTAAATGTCGTGTTCACCCCATGACTTTTGGTGAGGGTGTGGTTGGAGTGGGTGTACCGTCATGAGAAGAGCTGCAGTGCGAGCTCGTGACACAGCTGGTCCCCTCACCTTGACCTTCATCTGTGTTACTCACAAGGCACGGCTCACTAGCCCCGAGAATAGAGGAGGAAACTCCCGTAATGAGATCAGTTGCAGTGGTGTCGTGGCCCAGGCCTGCTGGTGGGCAAGTGGCAGAACCAGGCCTGTCTGATGGCAAACATGAGCCTGCTCCCTTCGCTCCCACTGTGAATGGGAATCGCCCGTGGAGTTCCTCCAGACTGACCATCAGATCGCCACCCTAGCTCGGTGCCCTGGAGCTAGCTGGCTGGGTCCCCGCAGTCTAGGCAACCAACACCCCATCCAGGTAGCCCCTCATCCCCAGGTGTCACTGAGGTTTCCATGTCTCAGTTCTGTGCCTCTGGGAGTTACAGGACAGATCTTTGTTGTTGGCCTCTCTTTGGGTGCCTGCCCCTTACAGTACTGAGGGCTATGACCAGGTCCCTTAGAACTTGCCATAACCCAGGCTAAGTTACAAGTCACAGCCCACATCGCATGTGCTGGGTGGACCACCTCTCCTCCTCCCTCTCTCTGCACTTCTGCCCCTTCCATTCTGCTCTGTCTCCCCCAGACTAGACTAAAAGAACAACTAGAATCCACTCACCGGGTGGCGTGTGCAGCTCTGCTGGTGTGGCTCATGCAAGGCTGGGGACACTCGGGAGGCAGTGTGTGCAGCTGGGGACACTTGGGAGGCAGAGTGTGCAGCTGGGGACACTCGGGAGGCAGTGTGTGCAGCTGGGACACTCAGGAGGCAGTGTTGCTAGCATCATGCTGCTTTGCAACAAGCGTGTGAGCAGGTGCTGTGCCCTGACAGCTAAGCCTAGCCCTCCGGTGGACCAAGCAGCAAAGTTGCAGCCTGAATCAGCGTGGCCTGTTGTTGGGGCTCTTCTGTTAAGTGCTGAAAGAGGCATTTCCCAGAGCCATCAGGCCGTGTTTATTGTGACTATTGAGTACTAAGTAAATGGATGTAAGGAGCCTTGTGCTAAAGTTTGGATCCAGATATTCATTATTTCATGACCATTGCCAGCTACTCAACATCACACGCATCAAAAAGCACAAGCCTCCGCCTTCCGAGTTATTTATGTGTCTCCATGTTTCATTCATAACTATCGTTTCATAACCTGTTCCTGGGTAGGAATGAAAAAGTTGAAACAATGCCCCATCTCTCTGTCTGTCTGTCTCTCTCTCTCTCTTTGTCTCTCTTTGTCTGTCTGTCTCTGTTTCTCTCTCTCTCTCTCTCTCTCTCTCTCTCACACACACACACACACACACACACACACACACACACACACACTAACTCACCCTCAG